AATTATTTTCAGAAAGGATAAAACATTATCACAATAAAATAAACTGAACTGTGAATATGTAAGTAATGTCTACTGGGATATTGTCCTGGTACAGAAGGAAATGGCCTATACAGTCATCTAAGAAGAGAGTCAGTCAGACCACATTTAAAGCAAGAAGCTATGGAGCCTGCAAATTAATCTAGAAAGCCAGCCAGTGCATACTGTTTTGTACTTGTTGATCAGCAACATTCTGATACTGTCCAAACAAGTAGGAGAGGCTGCAATCTTGGCTTACCCAAAACAATTACCTGTTACTGTGATCTGATTATCATGCTAATAGTTTGGCTCATCTGCTTCTGAAAACCAGCTTGTTCTTTTCTAATACAGGTGAAAAATTCTATGTACCTTTGAAAGATAAAGGCAACCGATTTAAATAGTGTAATGAATATTTATCATCATGGAAATATTCTTCTAGACACTTCTCCACCAACTCAACAGTGTGTATTTTTTTTCTCCTATGCTCAGCTGAAGTCAGGGGGTGGTGGGGAGAAGAGAAAAAAGTATCCTCAACTAGTACTTATCTTCTGTACTGTTTTCTGGAGAAGACCTGAAGTTAACTTATTTGTCACTTGTGGGCATAAGATACAAAGATTTTAAAGACAAAGCTGTTAAGAAAAATTTTCGGTAACCTCTGTACCCAATTTAGACAAGTTATAGACTCCGTCAGCATTGTTGATCTGTCTGGAAAAAATCCCAGCTTGCGAAACACCTGAAAAGGCTAGCAGGTGGCATAACTTTAAAAGGATTTTCTGTCAATCTTCCTGAAATTAAGTGCCCTCAAGGGTTTGTAAGTGAATTTTATATGTAAAGTATTTCCCAGATTCTCGAAACAAGGTGAGAGAGCTCAGTAACTTCATGTGCTGATGGACAGGGGAGTTGTCCTAATATTTAACACAGAAATACAACTGGAAAATATGTAATGCAAAATTTTTTAATTTATGATTGGATAAGTGAAAGTTATACTTGGAGAGCATGTGGAGTATGATCTAACACTGTCCTCTCTTGTCCAAGTACTCCTCCCTTGGGGTTTAATCATGGGGTGCTGGAGGCAGAGTTTTTTCACCTGAAGGAGGGAGGCTCCATCTCTGGATCTTGCTTTCCTAGGGAATTTGCTGGTTGACTTTCAGTGCAACTTGTTTTATCAGGTTCTTTTCTTCTGGCAGAGATACATAGCTAGGTAGAAGGTGATAAATTTTATTAATTTTGATGCTGCTTGTTTGCTGTATCTTGCTTTTTCTCAATATTGTCGTAACATTTGCTACGTTGGTTGTGTGGAATTTGGTTGTTCTTTCTCTTTTAACCCTCCCAGTGTGTATGGAGCTCCACAGAATAAGAGACTGTATGAACTCATAGCTCTTTCAGAATTAGACAAGAGTATGAACAGAGTATGTAGTGGCTGGTGAAAATTATCAGTGCTTGATTACTGAAGTAAGTCTGCAGTCTCCTCAGTCCTCAATCTTTCAGCCTTCAGCCCTTTGCCATGATGTGTCCTACTGAGACATGATCTTGTGTTGGATCCAGTTTATGCTTGCGGTTTACAGTTCAAGAAATTACTGTGTACTCCTGGAAGCGTGGTGCTGAGTTCAACTTACTTTGTCATGACTCAGCACTGTGTTGTGGAAACATGAGTACTACAGTGAATGTTTTTGAGTTTAGGGGGTTAAGCCCTGGAAAGTAGCAATTGATTTGGTTGATCATTATGGTGGATTAGTATGCCCTTCCTAGATCTGCACGTCTCAGTTGTGTTTACATCTTTTTATGAACACACATCAACTAAGAACACTTTTTGTCTGTTAACACTCTTTTTAAAATAAGCCAAGTGATAGATTTTGGTATTAATTTCTACTTGTAGTTTTTACACCACTTGTGTTTGCTCTTAAAAAAAAAAAAAAAAAAAAAAAGGCATCAGTTGTCATTGTAAAGCAGTGTTTTCTAGCCATTATGAAAAAGAACCTAATCCCCTTCTCTGAATTGCAAACAAAAGCTCTGAAACAAGTTGGTATTGGGCATGAGGAGGAAGGGATGATTCATTGGTACCTAGGATAGGAAAACTGCTTACCCTGATACAGTGAGAAAAGCTCAGGTATGAAGTGATATAGGTGTCTGCCTGGAGTCCTCCAGTTAAGAGTTATATTCCATGAACTACCTCTGTGTTAAATTAGACTGTTCACATAACTTTACTGGTGATAGTTCAGTATTTGAGAATGGGACTACTTCAAATGACTGAATTCCCAGTTTCTTAATTTATTTTCATCTGTGATACATTAATAAGCAGCTACTTATTCAACTGCTTTTCATTAAATGGAAAAACATGTTTCTTTTATATCGAATAAGGAATAGTACTTAAGTAATGCATTTATTTGAATTATCTGGGACTTTAATTTTTCTCCAGATATGCTCAAGAGAAGTTACATGAGATTTAGGTTTTGTTCCAAGATTGTTTTGGTATTCAATTTAGCACTGCTTTTTAAGAGGAATGGAAAGTATTATGAGCCCGGTCTTCCGTAGAAGTCTGGTAATGCGTGTTTTTCTTGTTTCTCAAGATAGATCCATAGCAGTCTAAGCCAATTTTTAACACTGTTTAGAAAAATATAATGAATAGGATACAACTTCCTAACTGTTAGAAAAAGTTGCATGAGTCTTAGTAAGAGACAACGGAGTTACTCATTTGTTTAAGCATGTGTTCACGCAGTTAAGCAAGTCTGAACTTCAGTCTGAGGGGAGATCATTTAAAAAAATAAAAGAAATGTTGGCAATCATTCAAAACAGTAAAATTTGAGCACTGGGTACATAGTTTACATTAAAATACGTGAATCCAAGTGATTGAATAAGCGCACATTTTTTCAGTCTTGTTGTAAACATGATTGCTTTGGTTTTAATCTGGTCTATAAAAAAATCCAGAAGCCTGAATTCACTCTTGTTCAGGAAAGTTTTGAACCTGTGCAGAAAGTATAAACCCCTGCTAGGTTCCTAATAAAGTACTTTATGCACAAATTGACTTGATAAAATATAAGTACATAATAAAGTGCTCCACTGAATTAGAACTAGCAACTAAGTAGAAAAAACATTGTTTTGATACATTTAAAGTGATAAAGTAGCCTGAAAGGCTGAAAGTTATTGCTTTAAGAGGTAAATTCAAGTAATAATTTCAACTAAAGAAAGCTAAGAATGTTTCATGAAACAGTTCGGGTATTAAGAAACGAGGGTCAAATCTTACAGTCTATACTTACGCAAACTTCAGGTCCTGCTGGGTTCATTATGAATAAGCATGTCAAAATCTGTCTGTAAGTTATATTCTTCTAGCAGGCCACCATCAGTAGAAATTGGGAGAACTTTCTTCATGCAGTCAATAGTTTTGAAAAGAGAATTGTAGATTTATTTTAATGAATAAATGTGCAAATATGGAATTATTTTTTTTTTAAATGAAATTACAGTAAAGACTCTGTGCAAAGGTTCTAGAAAATGTGGGCCTGCTGCTGAATGGGAATGAGGACATAGTCACAAGGACCAAGGAGAAGGCTAATGTGATGAATGCCTTTTTTGCCTCACTCTGCTGATAAAAGTGGCCTTCAGCAATCCCAGGTCCTTAAAACCAGTGGGAAAGTCTAGGGGAAGGCAGACTTACCCCCATTGGAGAAGGAGTAGGTTAGGGAATACATAAACAAACTGGATGTATGGAGGTTCATGGGCCATGATGGAAGAGACTGCCACAAGTGCTGAGGGAGCTGTCATCACAAGGTCACCGTTAATGACTTCTGGAAAGTCATGGTGACTGGGGGAGTTTCTTGAGGACTGAAAGGAAGCAAACATCACCCCTGTCTTCAAAAAGGGCAGGATGGAGGATCTGGGAAGCTAAAGGCCCATCAGCCTCATAGTGATCGCATTCTTGTTGATAAATATGATAAATAAATACATAAATATGCATTGCAAAATAACCATAGACATCAGGACATGCTGGGAGGCTGATGGGCTGGAAAGCAGCTTTTCAGAGAAGGCCCTGGGATTTCTGGTGGAGAAGATGCTGTGAAGATGAATGTGAACCAGCAATGTGCACTTGTAGCAAAGACCGCCAACATCATCCTGGGCTGCATTAGGCAGAGCTTGCTGGCAGATGAAGAGAGGTGTTCCTTCTTCTCTACTCCATGCTGGGGAGTTCTGGGCTCCCCAGTTTAAAGGAGATGTGGATGTAGTAGAGTGAGTCCAGTAAAAGGCCATGAAGATCATGAAGGGAGTGGAGCATCTGAAAACCAAGGGGAGGCTGAGAGAGCTGGACTGTTCAACCTGGCGATGGAGAAGAGCAGACTCAGGGTGGGTGTGATGTGATACTTGCAAGAAGGGTGCAAAGGAGGAAAACCGAATGCTTTTTAGTGGTATCCAGTGACAGGATGAGGGGAAATGGGCACAAATTCAAATACAAGAAATTTCATTTAAGCATAAAGAAAAACTTTTGTACAGTGAGAATGGTGGAACACTGTAACAGATTTCCCATAGCTGCCATTCAAAATCCGACTGGACATGGTCCTGGGCAGCCTGCTCTGTCTGACCCAAGCAGGGGCTTGGACCTGGTGTTCTCGAGCAGTCCCTGCCAACTTCCATCTTTCTGTGTTCTGTGATCTCTTCACTGCATCTGTTTTGGTTTGTTTTTTTTTTTTTTTTCCAGTGCTTTTTCAATTTTGCAGCATCTGGTGACATACTGATCACCAAAAAGGTAGTGGGTTGGTTGCAGGTCTGAAGCAACTTTCTGTTTGTTCCTTATATATGTCATGGGCTTTACAACTAGCACATGTTTCTCTTTGAAATACTACAGTCTGGATCCATCCTTGCATATGTGTTTAGTCATAGAGAGTGCTCAATAATTTTATATTAAATAATACAGAATTTAACATTGATAACTAATTTAAAATCCTTAACAAATATGGTAATAGAGCAAATGTGTAACACCCTCTAACCCTGTGTTTCAGTCATGGCCTTCATATGAAGAAGTGTTCAAAAAAATGCATGAGCTTGCAGAGTTTTTAGAACTGCCTCGTTTTCCAGACATAACAGACAGCTGCTTTCTTCATCCGGACATGTTGTGTATGAAGTACTTGATGGAAGCAAATTTACCTGGTAAATATTTTCCCAAACTCAAACTGATAAAATTTTTCTTTGGTTTATTAAACTCTAGCAAAAAGACTTGAATTACTACTTTAAAAGTGTCTCCTCTTTTCCTTCTAATTTATACCCATTTAAGCTTGAACTGAAAGATAATTTCTATAGAAAGCAGCTTCATTAAACATTTAGAGTATGTATTATAGGCCCAGATATGCAGGAGCACTCTGGTGTTGGCTCTCTAAGGCTGTGGAGTGGATACTTCATTTCAAATCTTTCAGTATCCATGTGAACTAAGAGGCACTAGTTGTATTCATGTGATGTATTAACTTTAGCTAAATGATTCATGAAGTTGGGACCTGATGACTTAGCACTGGAATTCTCTCATATAATATTGAGGGTATATTCTGTAATACTGCATATTAGCATTAATTTTAATATTAACAAGTGATGCTGTGTGACAAATCAGCTGCTGTCTAACTTGATTTCCAGTTTAGTTTTGAAATTGTATATTGCATAAATATTAAACATTTTTGTTTATCTTAAAATTAAGTCTTGAATATTGAATTTCCAAAGAAAGACAAATAAGTCCTAGTATGTCAACTGTCTGTTGAGGTACCATACTTCCTATCAAATACCACTATTACTGAAGATGAGTTATGCAGATAAATAGGCTGTACATTAATATTTTTTTTTTCCTCAAAGCATTGCAACAGTTAATAGTTTGGGGGGTTTTATTGTCTTATTTTGCAACTAGTTATGTTGAATAAAGCTACTTGGCTTTTCTGTTTACTTACAGTTGAATGAAGATAACCAACAGATTTAGGGCTAAAATTCCAGAGTATAAATTCTGATATTTTAGTTTTATGCCTGTGTTGTGATTCTATAGAGGATTATATTATTTTTCAGATTTTGAAGTATCATTTGAATCAAAGAAAAAGCTAGAAATGTGGCATTTTCAGATTTGTTAGAGAAATACAAAGCTAAGTACTTTTTGAAAATTACTGTAGAAGAATGTATTGTCCTTTACTTTTTCCTTGCAACTAAGCCTTTTGTCATGTAGAAGCATTTTTTTAAACATTGAAAAAGGACGACTGTTGTTGTCTAAACTTGTAAAAATTAAAGCAAGCAATGAATTGGCAGTGTTTCTTAGGGCACTAAGTACTAATGAGAAGGCCATTTTAAGTATCTGAAATAAAAGAAGATATACTGACAGTATTTATAAGAAAATTTGGTTTCCAGATTTTGTTTTAACTTTTACTGTTATATATGAGAGGATTAAAAATTAGTTCCTACTGAACTCTTCATAAGCAGCAAGTGAATATAAAGTATAGCTGGATTAAGGTTGTACTTAGTCATTTGTTGTTAACCTTTGTGGAATCTGATGGTGATGTAATCAACTCCTGTATTTCTTGCTGAACAGGTAAGGTGAGAAATTTGGGGGATTGGTATCCGTGAAAAATAAGCATAGAGTAATAGACTATATAGATATCGTACTACTGCTTTTGGAGCTGTAGTTGTATCTCTTTGACATAACTTGCGCTAGTGGGTGAGATTAGGCTTTACAGTATAAAGCCAATTTTAGCCTGGGCTGGGACTGTCTGTACCTCAGCCAGGTTCTGTCAGGGTAGCAGCAAGCGTTGCCCTGCCATGATTAGTCTGCTGTTCATACCCAATTAACTTCTGTAAAACTGGCCCCTGTTCCACTCTGCAATAGTGAACGTGCAGGAAAAAAATTTGTGACAAGCTTTTGGCATTTGGGTTTTTTTGAAACTATATGTAGATTTAAGATAGGCTTTCCCATAACAGTGTTCAGGGTGATCTAACAAGATCCTTCGAGCAACATCAAAACAGTATTAATAATGTGATTTTTTTTTTTCTCCATGTGAATATATGAGTCATGACTGTTTTCCATGTACACACTGTGAAGGTTGCCTAGTATTTTTTAAAATACTCCAAAATACTTCTCAGCCTGAAAAAAATTTCCGTCTCATAGTCCTAAAAGACCTAAGCATTATTTTCCTCAAATGACCAACATACTTGCACTGTAAAAGTACTTCTAGCTTGTCTCGACATACTCATTTTATATTTATATTAATCAGATGAAATGCATAATTGGACTTGTCGAGTGGTGAAGAAGGCTTGTATTGGAGAAGTGGATTTCCTGACTCTCGTGCCTGGAAATAAGTCAACGAGAAAAGTGAAATACGACGTTCTTGCTGCAGCAGTTATTGTAGTGGTGCTCAAAGTATTGTTTTTATTAAATGATAACTATGAATGGTAAGTGTACAGGCAAATCTGTAGCAAAGCTCAAATTTCAAATAGTGCAAATTATTGTCTTGGATCATTCTTTCTTTAGTAATATTAAATTTATAGTACTTGAATTTCAATGAAGTTCAGTAGCACAAAACATAGACCTGAAGGCATTTTAGGCATTAAATATTACTTATTTTTAAAAATCATCAGTTTGAATATGAAACTTGGAATAAAATTAGAGTGTAATTCTTGTCAGTTGTATTTGAATTTTATGTGAAAAGTGCAGTGTTTGGATCTACAAAATAGCCTGATATTTTTTTTTTCTTCAGGTTACTTTCAGACTTTGCTGAAGAAAGAAATAAAAACAACGAAGAAGGTACATAAATATTCTAGTAGAAGCAGTCTTATGATTTTGTAAATGAAATAATTTTGTAATCAGACTTAGAAAGTCTTATTGATCATTAAAATGTGGTTTTGTCATTTATTCATTTAAGGCAATTCTTTATTCAAAGAAAACAGTAGATCCTGTTTAAGTAAAATCGTCTCAATTTACCTGCATAATTGTTATTGTATTGGATAGGGGAATTTGGTACACATTTTGCTAGGTACCTTTCTGCTTCTCCTTGTGCATGTTTGCCTCTTGTTTTAGAATTTTATGCATGCTAGGTGAAGATGAATGGATAGGCAGTAAAGAGGGAATGCACTTTGATCGTAAATAGCAGATACTTATTAGGGGCATCAAACCACATTTATGATAAAATCCAAACTTGTTTAGTCTTGTTAAATAAAATGTCTTCGTGTGTAACATTTTTCAGATGTAATCTGTTTTCTTAGTCCAAATAATCCTGAGAGAGTGTGGAAAAGCTAGCAGCAATTAAGATAGAGAAGATAATGGTGTGAACATGGTTCTTTGAGGGCAGAAAGACCAAATCAAAGATTAGAAATCTTCAGGAAAATGTTCCATCGCCTGATCCAGATCACAGTTGAAGATCAAAGATATGTTACAGTGGTTTATCTTTTAAGCCTCCAGTTTTGGGTCCATTTTGACCCGTATGTTACTTTTAAAAAAAAATTTAAGTCAATAATAAAATAGATGTTAGCCATGTGTGAGCACAATTACTGCTGTATCTAGAGATAGTCCTCACTGTTAACTAAAACTGGTAATTCTCATTTTCAAGTGGGTACACAAACTTCTTTTGGATCTTTTTTTTTCCCCTTTTCATTTCCCTTGAAAACTTCAAGTACGTAATAGTGACAGGAGTAGAAGTTGTGCAAGCACTTACAAGCTGAGGCTCAAAGTTATTAATGTCTTAATGGAGTTTGTCTCTTATTAACAAGTCTCATTGCCCTTGGGAATTATCAGCTCATTCTTTGCCCACTTTTTTACTTTAAAATCTGCTGGTACAAAATGATCCATATGCTCTTTTCTGTTGTCCCTATCCGTAAAATATTGGGGTGATGGTGAGAAGCTGCGCAGCAGAGCTGATGTGAGAACTTCTGTTAGAGCAATGATTAGTGCCAGAGCTCAAAACTGCCTCTGGCATTTTCCCAAAGTTAGCGTGCTGAAATGAATAATAGTTAATACTGAGTTTTAAAATCCAGTTTATGGTGACTCTATCGTTAATTTAACTATCTTTTTTCTAGTCTTTTTTAATTAAAAAGTAGTATTTCAGCTCCTACAGTTTTTCAAGACAGACTGGAAGTTGTACAGTAGATAGTTGTAGTTGCCTAGTGTGTGAATGTATGTTCTATGAACTGCATACCTACACAATACGAATTATGTTCAAATAAAACATGTGTTTGAGATATAGATATATGTGTATGTACATGTGTATCACAGAGCTGTGTATTTTCCAGTCAGCTTGTCTATGTGGACATCAGGTTAGCAGTACTGGCCAGGTAAACAGTTACTGTACTGTAGCATCATGTCTCTTATGGTGGTTTTGTTTGTGACAGATGCTTAATAATTCATAGGAAGTTTTAATAAAATTCCCCCCCCCCCCCCC